ACTCGCTAATGAATGGCGTAATCTGGTGTTCCTCCTTATCAAGCAAATAAATTTTATTATGCTTTCTTGGGTCCCAACATTAACTAAATCATGAAATGCCCTCTGAAGAAGTCGCTTAGTCCTACTAAGAAAATTTGGTCTATCAATAATACAAAATCTAGGAACAGCCCTACTAATAAACATAATTTCAAAAAAAAAATATGGTTGACTTGCCGAGCCAGTGCTTTATTTGTCTTATTGTAGTTATGATTATCGGAAACATTGGTAGTTTTACGTGCTAGGTATGTAGATCAGCATTCCCAGCACAAGGATGGGGGTTGGAAAGCCAAAGTGGGGTGTGAAGAGGTCTCATTAAATCTGTTTAAAAGGATACATTATATCACATTTAAATAAACAATTAAGAAATTGTGATAGTGAAGGAATGATACGAAGATTTAGGATAGGTGAATAGTCAGGGCAGGAGGATAGATACCACAACTGCTTAGTAGAAAATTAGTCAAAGGATCGACTTCACTTGTCTCTTTGATGAGTTATAGTGTGGTGCTAAGAATGGCAAGGCTTAATGGCGATGCCGACGAAACGTCGAAGCGTACTAAGTCCACGGTCCGTAATTTGGAATTATCATGCATACTATGGGCTCTGGACTAGGTGCATTCCTCTAGGTCTTCCTGCCAATATGACTAACTAGCGAAAACGAGGTTAAAAAACTGCTATACAACGAAAGGAGACCGCGATCATACAAAAGGCAACACCATCTTGGTCTTTATGCTTTAAATATATTATATTCTTCGTTTATAAGGAGGGTTTGGAAAGTTAGAATGAGAATCCTTATAATTGCATGTGAGCAATAACACTAGATTGATATTTGTGCAGCTCTTTTAAAGAATTTTATCCTTGCTCTTTTTGTAGAACTTAGTGGTGGGGCATATAAATGGTTTCGATCTGAGTGAATGTCTTTAAGAATGGACGAAATTTAGGAATTAGTGAGTCAGTTTTTCTTAATTTTTCTTGCTTAAACTAACCAGGTGGTTCTACTCTATTCACTTTTGCAGATCCTATTCGAACAGTGTAACTTTTTTGCTTTGCCATTGATGTCATGTCCTTTCAACACTTACTATTTCCTGTATATAGACCTGGCTGAGAACTCTTCCCTAAATTATACCTCTTTTGATTAGACTTCTCGTAAAGGTTAACCATTCTATTGTGCACAGATCCTACATTCTTGATACATTTTCCTGACGCCCTTCATAGTAACCATCCTAAGAATCCTTTTTTTAATGATAGGACGATAATTCATTCTTACTTATTTGAACAGGGCTATTTGGGGTTTTATTCTCATGATTAGTTTTCCCTGTATTTACATGTTTTTCTTCAACTTAAACGACTTGTAGTTTGAATCACCGTTTTATGGTTAAAAGTACTAGCCAGCTTATTTTTCCAGTATTTTGGCTCAGTATTTGCACAGCTCCTCCACTCTACCTTTCTATATCATTTTCCAATTGATAGCTAATTGCCCATTCTGTGCTACGTTTTTGTAAAATTTCTGAAATGTCCAATCTTTTAGTATTTATTTTTTCATGGTTTTGAAAATTTCTAAATCCTTTTCTCCATTATCAAATTAAGTCCAATATCGTATTAATAAGCTGGGGTAGTCGGTCTATAAACAGCTGTCGGAGTCTGCATACAATCACGGAGCACGGATTCATTGAATTTTGAAACCCCTCATTATTTTCCTACTGCTAAACTTACTTGATTTGTAGTGATTTTAACATTATTTACACTATATTGTCTTACCTCTCTTTTTTTCAATGCAAAGCTGAAGATTTAGTTTTTTGATTTAGTTAAGACATAGAACCCGAAATCCAAACTTTTAGTTATTGCTATTTATCCTCAAATGTTGTCCACAACATGATATCATATGCCATATCTTTAAGGAAAGAGGACCGCTATGCCTAGAAGACTGTCGGTGCAACCACAGAGCATAGCTATATAATATATTCCTAATATTTTTAAAGCAGTGATTTGATTTAATTTTCTATTCAGACTGCCTTTGCCAAAATTACAAATGCTCATTTTTATCTGTTGATTGATGAGATCATGTCTATACTCATCGATCGTTTATTTGCTTATAAATATACATAGATTAAAGTGCGTTCAGCTTTTTAATATCATCGTTTATTGACAACAAATGGGATATTTACCAACTTTGAAACTAGCTTTCTCTCATACGACATTTGCTTGTAATTTACCGGTAATAAATATCTTATCTTGCATTAATTCTATTTTCTTTCAGACGAAGTCAACTTTAGATTCTCAGAAACTAAGCCATATTCAAAACGATATACTTCATCTAAAGCAGTGCAAAATCGATTTGACGCAATTAACTTGCCTCTTGTTCTCCGGAATTCAGGAAGACATCTCGCGTCTTGTCGTCTGCACCACAGGAATTTTCCTTAACGCCCAACCGAAGAAGACTAGTCTGGCCGGCACTCAGACGGAGTTTATTGACAATTCAGTTAATGCTGATAGCCATGTCGAAACTACGAATCTTCTCTCTCCAGCTTTTTCTTGTAAAGGCCAATTGGATTCACTTCAGCTTAGCTTAACTCATGAAGAATCTGTGAAAGCTGGCTCAATCGACAGAGTTTTTGCAAATCAAACTTTCGATATTGCCCAACTTGCAACTCGGCTATATGAAGCACAAACAGAGCGTGCTGAGCTCAAGATGCGTTCTCAGGCTCTGGCCTATGAGTTGGCTTGCAGTCAAGAGGCCAGTCAGCACCTTGAAGCCGCACAGGCTCAGCTCACAGCCCAGGTGGATGAGTTATCATCCAAGCTAGCCCATGCTCACGATGAACGATCTCTCCTAGTTGAACGGCTGGCAAATTTGCAGGCGATGGTTGCCATGGCTGGCTATCCGACAGATAGTAGGGGTGGTGGTGCCTCTATCGACTCTGGGGCTTTAGAGCTCGAAGAACAGTTGGAAAGTGTTAGCCAACGCGGCGACTATTCAGCAGATCTCGGAAGCTTGTCACACCAGATTTTAGCTCAACGGGAAAATGACCTTCGTAATTTGGATGTCGACGGTGACAGGGAATCTAGCAGCATGGGACCACCTACACCCAGCCTTGTTGGTGGCATTCGTTCATCTCTGGTTAGCATTCGTCGGCGGACTGTTAGCCTGGTTCAACTACTAGCTCTGTTTTCATATGGTTGTGGACGGGGCTCCAAGCTTCCTAGCATCTCAGCCGAGGAGTTAGAAGCGATGCGCCGCGAGGCTGATCTCCTGATGAATGAGGTGAATTGGCTTCATTTACATGACTCCGACATAACTGGTCAGATGGAGATGACGATGCATGGACTGGCTGATGAATTGCATGCCGTCCAACAAGCGAATATTGGGCTACGGATAGAGCGTGATCGGTTAACAAAGCAGCTACTTCATTCGGCTGAGGGGTTACCGTCCGACCATTCGGAAGTATATTTGCATGATATAGTAGACAAGTTTCAGGCTACTCAACAGGCTAACCTTGAGTTACAGTACGAGCGGGGCCAGTTAACCGAAGAAATTTGCCAGCCTTCCACAGAAACGACAGCAGCGGTGACTGCAACTCTCATCAGATATTGTGATGCATCTGTACAAGCCACCTTCGACGAGGGCCAAACGACTTTGGAGTGCAAACTGCGCAAGGAATTGGAAGACAAGGTTTGCGAGCATGTTCAATTAGTGCGGGCTTACAGTGAACTAGAGGCCAGCCTGGCTTGTGAAAGTTTAGCTAAGGAGGATCTGATAGCTCAGCTACGGTTAGCTGAAGAAGAACTGTCCGGTCTTCGGGTTTCTTTCGAACGATACTCTCGATTGTCTGAACTACTCGATCATTGTGTGGCCAAATGCTCATGTCTTGAGGCTGAACTGTCTGCAATTAATTTAGACCGGCCAAACATTATTTTTGAAGACCAACTCGGTATGTCGGAGCATGCATTTCACTTTTCAGACAACTTAAACATCGATAAAGCCTTGCCAGATGTGGAATCCGAATTCCAAGGGTCCACTTTACATGCAGAATCGCATAATATTATCCATCAGAATGTCGTGGATGATAACAAAGATAGTACAGATTGGCCAGTTCTGATTAACTCAAAGCCATTTACACTTCAAGATGAGTCCGCTATTCTGCGAAAATCGATCACATCATTAGAAACTGAGCTAAGTCTGGCAAAATCAGCCTATCTTGAATTAAACGAAGAGTTACTTCTTACGAAGGCTTCACTGAACTCGATGACTATGCAGCATGAAAGGTTTACTGAACTTGAGAAACTTGGGCAATTTTGTAGCATAAAATGTTCCAAGTTGGAGTCTGAACTAAAGAGCCATCCAGACACAGAAACAGTTGAAACTCAAACATACCCTGAGAACTTTTCGAATGAGGTTGAAAATACAGTCAATGGGCGCGCGGTGTTTTTGAATAAAGCTGAACTAGAAAATAAAGTCCGAAAAATTGCATGCGAGCTGATGGCAACCAAGGAGCTTTTGAAAATACAGGCGGCCAGTTATGACGAGCGAATTACCTCACTGATTCAGAAAAATTCTAGCTTAGCTAGATCTAAAGCTTTTTCGGAAGAGTCTAGGTCGTCTTGGTTAAAACAAGGTTTTGATCTGAGAAGTGAATCAGAAATCAAAAGACGAAGCAATGAAATAGATTTTGATCTGACATTTAATGAAGATAAGACAGCATCTAATGAAGAAATTAATGTAGGCGAAAAAATGTTGAAACAAGCAAATAACCAAACTAGAAAGAATAAAGAGGAGCACAAGTTAAGAGGACATATAAAAGACGAAGAAAAAAATGTATGCGAGAAATGTGGATGGGCTCAAAGTATTCACGAAAAAGAGTTAGATAAATTAGAAACAATTATAAATTTGTGCAGCGAAAAATGTTTAAAAATAGAAAATGAATGGAAAAATGTAAGAGAATGGCAAGAAATAGCAACTGAGAGCATAATTGAATTAAGTGGAGGGCAATGCACCTCATCA